TGACCGCTACAGTTTATTTAGAAACATAGGCTCTATTTTAAAATGCAACTTAATAACAATCACAGGAACATCCACGTACCGCAGGAAACAATAATAAATACGTATAAAGTAACAGTTTACATCCTCAGAACTGCTGCAGTTGTGTTTTTCTGCAAAAGACCGACCCAGACAGCCGTGAACACAAACGAGACTACAACTACGACTAACAATGTAATTACCGAACCGACTCATGGCTACGCATCGTAACATCTCATCGAATCATGGTGTGGGGGGTGGGTAGGGGGGAGGAACCATTGGTGTCCCATTGTAAAATCTTCTCTGCTCAATATTCATCTTAATGCCACGGCTGGCTAAAGGGCCCTCCCACCGGACGGGCGCTCTGGAGAGCCGCTCTATTGCAAGGTATTTGTGTGGCCTGCTCTCGCTCGCTGGCCCAGTACCTATCGGGAGGGGTGTCAATACCCACGCTTCACAGCACCACCGCACGTGACCTGCCAATCGATTCACTGATGTGGGGGCCCTTTACTGCTGGGTGAACCGGAGACCTCTAATATTTGAAAAATAAGAATGGGGTTAATAAAGTATTAAAGCTTTCGTGACTGCATAAAATTACTCATTGGTTTTTTCGGTAAAAAAACCAATGAGTAAGAATGGGGTTTTTACCCTTTTTATTATTATTACACGCTTTTATTTAACTCACTGTCTGTTGTATCCTCAAATCTTAATTCTAGATTTGAAGCTTTCGTGACTGCAAGGATTCATACTCTTTGTTTTTTTTTCGGTAAAGTCACGTAGGTAAAATAAAATAAAACAATTAAATCACGACGTTTCGGAGGCAACAAAAGCTTCCGTCTTCAGGTGGAACAGTCACAGCAAGATCGCTGCATCAAGTCTTGATACAACAGACAGTCTTGATGCAGCGATCTTGCTGTGACTGTTCCACCTGAAGACGGATGCTTGTGTTGCCTCCGAAACGTCGTGATTTAATTGTTTTCCTCAAATCTTGTAACTCAATTTTAACCCACTTCCCAATGTGGTATCGACTGCAAACTTGGTATACTTATGTCAAACTGATGACAGTACTATATTCTATCATAAAAAATAAACATATTTTAAAACATTATTTTTTATATGTTATTTTCGGCTTGGGTCTAATTGTCCACGGTCAACTGACGTTGGCTGTAAATCACCACGGTCCCCTTACGTCATGGCAAGCTTCGGGGCCACTTCCTGGAGTCGTGGAGTTCTTCCATTACTAGCAGGGTACATTTCATTAAATCGTGTTTAAAAAAAAAGTTTTTTAAAAATATTACTTATTTGCGAATAAAACATGCGTTAAGATGTTCAAACACCAAATATAAACCTGTTGCAAGGAATCAAGTAACTACATTAACCACCCAAGGTACTGGTGCTGGACATGCACATAAACTTGCTCTGATGATTAAATATGATGCGTTGTCTTTAAAACAAGGACGTGTGATTAATGCGGACTTTATTCCTTGCAAAAAGGTATCTATTTGGTATTTGAACATCTTAACGCCTGTTTTATTGTCAGAAAGGGTAAAACCTATCCTTATTTTCCATACTTTTGATACTGGCAACAAGGTCCCACCTCGATATTTGCTAGTATTTGCAAGTCAGGGTGTGAAAACCATTACGCTTCTGTGGCAGTTTCCCCACACCTAACCCTGTAACAACTGAGCTCACCACAAATCCGTTGCAGCTGAGGACTACCGCCACACGTATGATGATTACGATTCTCTGTAAACACTGTATCACACCACCATCGTGATCAAATACAGGCAGCCACACACAACACGAATGCGCTGACACCGCTAAGATACACCATAGCCCAGTCGCAATACTCAGCCCCGGTATTGCCCCGGTTAACATGCCGTTGGCCCAATGACTCCAACCACGTGCCCAACGTTGGGCCTGCGTCAGCGTGTTTACCGGGTTAATCCATCAGTGTAATATTGCCAAGACCGCGATATGCCGTTTAAGCATCATAATAACGCAGGCTTTGATACATTTACAACTCTGTCAATGAAAAAATACAGTGTTAACACATGATTAATGTTATTGTCACTATTAATTCACGTGATATTGACGCAACTACGCGTTCCGTTAAATAAACCGCACCACACCGCTGGCCTCTGACCAAATCGCCCGCAATGCACGATGTCGGAAGCTAAGCAGTGTGTCCGGCCCCGGACAGTCCTTGGACTAGCGACCACCTCCTCGCCGGAGCAGGTTTAACGCGTAGCCTTTTCACGACCCGTATTCATATTCATCATTTATTCTGCCTGGGTCAGATCGCCACGTGCGTACGATGCCAACGTCGCGTCGTACGCCCCTCCACCAGGGGCTGGCTATATAAATAACGGACGAACGCGCCAGTCGCTTACTGCTGAAGTACACCGGTGTGGTGGAGGGCGACCCGCACTCGTTTAAACAATCTGGCTCAACGTTGCCGCCGGTGGCTACGCAACCAGCATCCATCGGTGACCGCCAGGAGGGGCTCACTTCTGGCGATCGCAGCTGATGGTGGGCCCTGACGGGCAAATCGCTGGAGGAGCATTGTGATTTGCAGTATTTCATCGTTATGTATGAACTTGCTGTCCGCGATTTTGGCTGTTTTCGCGACTCGCATCCGTAACTCTCGGCACGCCTGCGTCGAGAGAGGAAGAAAGTGATGAGAGAGATCAAGTGGCGAGAGAGAATGTGACGTGAGACAATCGATGAGATCAAGTGGTGAGAGAATGTGACGTGAGAAAATCGACGAGATAAAGTGGTGAGAATGTGATGTGAAAAAATTGATTAGATCAAGTGGTGAGAATGTGACGTGAGAAAATTGATTAGATAAAGTGGTGAGAATGTGACGTGAGAAAATTGATTAGATAAAGTGGTGAGAGAGAATGTGACGTGAGAAAATCGATTACATAAATTGGTGAGAATGTGACGTGAGAAAATCGATTAGATAAAGTAGCAAGAGAGAATGTGACGTGAGAAAATTGATGAGATAAATTGGTGAGAGAATGTGACGTGAGAAAATTGATTAGATAATGTGATGAGAGAGAATGTGACGTGAGAAAATTGATTAGATAATGTGATGAGAGAGAATGTGACGTGAGAAAATTGATGAGATCAAGTGGCAAGAGAGAATGTGACGTGAGAAAATTGATGAGATAAAGTGGTGAGAGAGAATGTGACGTGAGAAAATTGATGAGATCAAGTGGTGAGAATGTGACGTGAGAAAATCGATTAGATAAATTGGTGAGAGAGATTGTGCACAATAACCGTCTCCGCTCCTTATCCCTACTCGCCCCCTTGCACTGGGACAAACTTCCCCTCCGCACGTAGCGAGAAGCACCTTCTCCCAGGCGAGTCTCCGCTCCTCCCTCAAGACCCCTCACCTCTTCTCCCTGGCCCATCCTTCCCTCCATCCCTCTAGGTACCCCCCGTAATCCCCGTTCCCACTTCACCTCCCTCCCCATACCCCCCCCCCCCCATCCCTATTCACCGTATCACCTTTAGCTACCCTCATTGTACCGCTCACAACTCTTGCAAAGCGCCTTGGATAACGGCGCTGTATAAATATAGGATAAAGATAATGAAGGAATCCTGCACTGTTGTTTGGGTTTCCTGCCTGCAGCCACGTGATGGGAATGGCGTGGCCAGGAATCGAACCCAGTTGGCCAGGTTCCGAGCACAGTGGTCTCACCACTGCGCCACCACTCCCCTACTATACAGTATAAAGAAACAGACAAATATCCCCCAGATAGCCTTCATAGACTGTCGGGGCAAGCGCTGTCGGCAAGCACCTATACAGGCAGGCCTGGCCAGCACCACACCCGGCCGTCCGTGTCTCCTGAGTGGCGACGTTTACACACCGCACCAGGTACTCATGTGAGGCTGAGTCGACCTAGGGGAGGCCCAGGACCAGTGCACATAATTGTCGCTGGCGTTGGGCGTGAGCGGGACTCGAACTCGGGTCGCCAGGTTTGTAGTGCAGCGTAGCGCTAACCGCAGCACTACCGCTCCCCTTGCATAAAAACAGCACGTACGCACACACAGAGGCTGAAACAACAGCACAAGAAAACACAGGCCGATGTTTTCAGCTAAAGAAGCAGCAGCAGCAGCTGTTAGGGTCAGACGGTGTCATGTGAGGGGCCATCCATTTAGTAGGTACGCAAAAATCTGTCAAAACTTGACCCCCTCCCTGTACGCACGCGTACTTTTTACCCCCCCCCCCCCCCCACCTGCGTACGTACAGCGTGACGCACCCCCCCCCCCCCCCGAATCCTATAGAACGGCCGATATTTAATCCACGCAGAAACGATCAAATATGAATAATGTTAACGTGTTTAAGCAAACAGATAGTCCACCGCTGGACTAACTAATTTGAAGGCCAATGTAGACAAATTATTATCAAGGCTTCACCCCCCCCCCCCGTTTCCTATACGTACATTGTCAGTAGACCCCCCCATACGCAAGCGCACGCATTTTGGTTAACCCCCTCCATGCGTACGTACTAAATGGATGGCCCCTGATGGTCATGTGGTCACATCATCGTGGGCGACTTCTGGTTCCTCATCAACCCGCGACCGTTACCATCTCAGAAGGTGCAACAGCAAGCAGGACAATGTGACAGGAGGAAGAATATCTCACAGCATCATCGGGAGAGGGGGGAGCTATGTGTAAACACGTTGTCTTCAGTGGCGGATCACGATTACTGTTTTTCCTAAGTAGTGCCGGATTCAGCTCGAGTGGTGGGCCTGTATTTTTGTTGTGAAGGGGCACCAAATTTAAAAAAACACGTAAATATTAAAACACATACTTTTTTATACTTGCACAGTAAAGTAATTGTATTTTTTCATTTGCTATACAGCCAAATACGACAAATCGCTGACCTTAAACACCCAGTCGTTCGTAAAAGTTGAAGGCGGTATAGTACTGTAGTAATAGAGCAAGTGCAGAATCACTGAACCGGAATTGATAGCTTGAAAGCGTTTAGCGCGGGGCCCTTGAAAGTGCGGGGCCCGTAGCTACTACATTTGTAGCGACTTTTGCTACGAGGATGATCCGGCACTGTTCCTACGCCACTGACAAAGAAACGGGACTTTTTAAGCCAGGACAAGTGGAGACCCTACCCACCACGCTGACCCTGTGGGGGAGCCGGTTGGCGGAGTGTCGTTGGCATGGCCCCTCGTAGTGCGAGGAATTAAACGATGGGCACCCCCACCCTCTGCCCCGTCCCGTCCCGTTTCCTCTTATTTTCTTTGTATCCCAATGCTTGGGGCCCCTTCCAGCATTGTGGGCTCCCCCGTGCTGTGGCATCGCCTGCCTCACGGCTAGTCGACGGCCTCGGCGCGGCGGGCACGCGAGCCCGTGCGCCCGCACAAACAGCGCCAGCGGCACGCGCGGCGCGCGCTCCGCAAGCCCCAGGACGCAGCGCACCGCGCGCGTCGTTACGACTTCGGTGGTGCCGTTTTGTTGCCGGCCGCCTGACGTTTCCTTTTGGGGGCTTTCGCGCGCGCACCCTTGGGCGGGCTCGCGAGCCGTGAATCCGCCGCGCGTGGGCGTCCAATCGTCACGGGAGTCTCAACCGTGTTTTGCTGTCGTCGCGATGGCAGACCCACCGACTCGTCTTCGCCTCCGCCGCGGTGACACTCGACCCCCCCACCCCTCCCCCCCCCCTCACCGTGTCCCGCGCCGGCGGTGTGGTCAACGCGGCGCGCTCCGGCCATCGCTCGCGGGTGGGGAGGCCGTCACGCGCTCGTCTCGCCCACCGTGCCGTTGTTCCCGGGCACCTGCTGCAGCCGGATCCCCGCGGCGTCCGCCGCCTGCTCGCCGTTGTCGAGCCGCGTCGGGCTGTAGCCGCGGCGGCTGCCGTCGCCGCCGCCGCAGCACACGAGCAGGCACACGACGGCGACGGCCACCACCAGCAGCGTGGCCAGAACGCCCGCCGCCACCGTCGCGCTGCCCGCGTTCGCCACCACGCCCGCCAAGACCACCGTGCGGTTGGCCACGAGGCGCCGGTGGCCGGCCTCCTCGGCCCAGCACAGGTACGTGCCCGTGAGATCCCGGGGGGCCGGGGGGGCGCCCTGGCGGAGCAGCAGGCCCGCCTCGGGCAGCGGCTGCCCCGGGGCCGGGCCGGAGTCTCGCTCCCAGGAGAGGCGCGCCAGGCGGGAGGGGGGGGAGCAGGGCAGCAGCAGCAGCGGCGCCAGCGCCACGCGGACGGCCACCACGTCTGCACGCGACGCGGGGGCGGCGGAGACGACGGTGAGGACGGGACAGCGGAGAGACACGGGGAGGGAGAGACAGCGGAGACACGGGGAGGGAGAGACACGGGGAGGGAGAGACACGGGGAGGGAGAGACACGGGGAGGGAGAGACACGGGGAGGGAGAGACAGCGGAGACACGGGAAGTGGTGGGGAGGTGAGACACGGGGAGGGAGAGACAGCGGAGACACGGGGAGGGAGAGACAGCGGAGACACGGGGAGGGAGAGACACGGGGAGGGAGAGACACGGGGAGGGAGAGACACGGGGAGGGAGAGGCAGCGGAGACACGCGGCGATGTGGGGGAGGTGAGGCTGGAGGCGGGGTGCGGCGCGGTGAGCACCGACCTGGCGGGTGAGCGGAGCAGAGCGTCGTCGCGTCACCACCACTCACGTCCTGTAGCCACGACCTGTGGAGAGGGGGGGGGGGGGAGCAGTGGTGTAAGGGAATGTACATGTGTGTGTGCGAATGCGTGTCTAAGCGGTGGGGCAGCTGTGAGAACGCCGCGCTACGAACCCTGCGACCCCCGTTCAATTTCCACTTACGGCCAACACCATTGACGACTGAGCTGTAAGGCTACATGCGGGATCTTTGTACGTGTGTGTGAGTGAGAGTGTGTTTGTCGGCGTGTGGAACATGTTCCCTTGTCCTGCATGGGTTTTCTCCAGGTTATCCGGTATCCCCCCATAGATGAACCCACACGCGCACACAGCACTTGCCCCAACAGTCTGCGAAGGCTACGGGGTGGGGGGGGGGTGTCTTTGTCTTTGTGCGATTGCCGCCCCGCTCACCCGGTGCCGGTCTCCCCGCCGTGACGCCTGCACAGCCTCCGCTGGGGGTCCCAGGCGCAGCAGGGATCCCGCGCCAGTACGCAGTCCCAGCAGGCGCGGTAGCGGCCACAGCGACACACGGACAGCTGCACCACCCCCGCGGGGCCGGCCACGACCACCGAGGTCTGCGCCGCACGTACACGCCGCACGTACACACCGCACGTACACACCGCACGTACACGCCGCACGTACACGCCGCACGTACACGCCGCACGGCGCACAGGACCGCACACGCACCGCACGCGAGCTTGCGGTCAGGCTCGGCCACGCCAATAAACGTCACCAGTCGACGCGCAGAGATAGCGAGCGCGTCACAGTAGTGGCGAGTACTTGAGACTAGTAGCGAGTTGCACCGCTCTAGTGGGTGAGCTGTGAGTTGTGAGTGACCACACTAGTTGTGAGTTGTGAGTGACCACACTAGTTGTGAGTTGTGAGTGCACTGCACTAGTTGTGAGTTGTGAGTGCACCGCACTAGTTGTGAGTTGTGAGTGCACTGCACTAGTTGTGAGTTGTGAGTGTACCGCTCTAGTGGGTGAGTTGTGAGTTGTGAGTGACCACACTAGTTGTGAGTTGTGAGTGACCACACTAGTTGTGAGTTGTGAGTGACCACACTAGTTGTGAGTTGTGAGTGCACCGCACTAGTTGTGAGTTGTGAGTGCACCGCACTAGTTGTGAGTTGTGAGTGTACCACACTAGTTGTGAGTGTACCACACTAGTTGTGAGTTGTGAGTGTACCACACTAGTTGTGAGTTGTGAGTGCACCGCACTAGTTGTGAGTTGTGAGTGCACCACACTAGTTGTGAGTTGTGAGTGCACCACACTAGTTGTGAGTTGTGAATGTACCACACTAGTTGTGAGTGTACCACACTAGTTGTGAGTTGTGAGTGTACCGCACTAGTTGTGAGTTGTGAGTGCACCGCACTAGTTGTGAGTTGTGAGTGCACCGCACTAGTTGTGAGTTGTGAGTGCACCACACTAGTTGTGAGTTGTGAGTGCACCACACTAGTTGTGAGTTGTGAGTGCACCACACTAGTTGTGAGTTGTGAGTGCACCACACTAGTTGTGAGTTGTGAGTGCACCGCACTAGTTGTGAGTTGTGAGTGCACCGCACTAGTTGTGAGTTGTGAGTGCACCACACTAGTTGTGAGTTGTGAGTGCACCACACTAGTTGTGAGTTGTGAGTGCACCACACTAGTTGTGAGTTGTGAGTGCACCGCACTAGTTGTGAGTTGTGAGTGCACCGCACTAGTTGTGAGTTGTGAGTGTACCACACTAGTTGTGAGTTGTGAGTGCACCGCACTAGTTGTGAGTTGTGAGTGTACCACACTAGTGGGTGAGTTGTGAGTGCACCACACTAGTTGTGAGTTGTGAGTGCACCACACTAGTTGTGAGTTGTGAGTGCACCACACTAGTTGTGAGTTGTGAGTGCACCACACTAGTGGGTGAGTTGTGAGTGCACCGCACTAGTTGTGAGTTGTGAGTGACCACACTAGTTGTGAGTTGTGAGTGTACCACACTAGTTGTAAGTGCACCAGACTAGTTGTGAGTTGTGAGTGCACCACACTAGTTGTGAGTTGTGAGTGTACCGCACTAGTTGTGAGTTGTGAGTGCACCACACTAGTTGTGAGTTGTGAGTGTACCACACTAGTTGTGAGTTGCGAGTGCACCGCACTAGTTGTGAGTTGTGAGTGCACCACACTAGTTGTGAGTTGTGAGTGCACTGCACTAGTTGTGAGCGCACCGCACTAGTTGTGAGTTGTGAGTGTACCGCTCTAGTGGGTGAGTTGTGAGTTGTGAGTGACCACACTAGTTGTGAGTTGTGAGTGACCACACTAGTTGTGAGTTGTGAGTGACCACACTAGTTGTGAGTTGTGAGTGCACCGCACTAGTTGTGAGTTGTGAGTGCACTGCACTAGTTGTGAGTTGTGAGTGCACCACACTAGTTGTGAGTTGTGAGTGCACCACACTAGTTGTGAGTTGTGAGTGCACCGCACTAGTTGTGAGTTGTGAGTGCACCACACTAGTTGTGAGTTGTGAGTGCACCACACTAGTTGTGAGTTGTGAGTGCACCACACTAGTTGTGAGTTGTGAGTGCACCACACTAGTTGTGAGTTGTGAGTGCACCGCACTAGTTGTGAGTTGTGAGTGCACCACACTAGTTGTGAGTTGTGAGTGCACCGCACTAGTTGTGAGTTGTGAGTGCACCACACTAGTTGTGAGTTGTGAGTGTACCGCACTAGTTGTGAGTTGTGAGTGCACCGCACTAGTTGTGAGTTGTGAGTGCACCGCACTAGTTGTGAGTTGTGAGTGCAGCGCACTAGTTGTGAGTTGTGAGTGCACCGCACTAGTTGTGAGTTGTGAGTGCACCGCACTAGTTGTGAGTTGTGAGTGCACCGCACTAGTTGTGAGTTGTGAGTGTACCACACTAGTTGTGAGTTGTGAGTGCACCACACTAGTGGGTGAGTTGTGAGTGCACCGCACTAGTTGTGAGTTGTGAGTGCACCGCACTAGTTGTGAGTTGTGAGTGCACCACACTAGTTGTGAGTTGTGAGTGCACCACACTAGTTGTGAGTTGTGAGTGCACCACACTAGTTGTGAGTTGTGAGTGCACCACACTAGTTGTGAGTTGTGAGTGCACCACACTAGTTGTGAGTTGTGAGTGCACCGCACTAGTTGTGAGTTGTGAGTGCACCGCACTAGTTGTGAGTTGTGAGTGCACCACACTAGTTGTGAGTTGTGAGTGCACCACACTAGTTGTGAGTTGTGAGTGCACCACACTAGTTGTGAGTTGTGAGTGCACCGCACTAGTTGTGAGTTGTGAGTGCACCGCACTAGTTGTGAGTTGTGAGTGTACCACACTAGTTGTGAGTTGTGAGTGCACCGCACTAGTTGTGAGTTGTGAGTGTACCACACTAGTGGGTGAGTTGTGAGTGCACCACACTAGTTGTGAGTTGTGAGTGCACCACACTAGTTGTGAGTTGTGAGTGCACCACACTAGTTGTGAGTTGTGAGTGCACCACACTAGTGGGTGAGTTGTGAGTGCACCGCACTAGTTGTGAGTTGTGAGTGACCACACTAGTTGTGAGTTGTGAGTGTACCACACTAGTTGTAAGTGCACCAGACTAGTTGTGAGTTGTGAGTGCACCACACTAGTTGTGAGTTGTGAGTGTACCGCACTAGTTGTGAGTTGTGAGTGCACCACACTAGTTGTGAGTTGTGAGTGTACCACACTAGTTGTGAGTTGCGAGTGCACCGCACTAGTTGTGAGTTGTGAGTGCACCACACTAGTTGTGAGTTGTGAGTGCACTGCACTAGTTGTGAGCGCACCGCACTAGTTGTGAGTTGTGAGTGTACCGCTCTAGTGGGTGAGTTGTGAGTTGTGAGTGACCACACTAGTTGTGAGTTGTGAGTGACCACACTAGTTGTGAGTTGTGAGTGACCACACTAGTTGTGAGTTGTGAGTGCACCGCACTAGTTGTGAGTTGTGAGTGCACTGCACTAGTTGTGAGTTGTGAGTGCACCACACTAGTTGTGAGTTGTGAGTGCACCACACTAGTTGTGAGTTGTGAGTGCACCGCACTAGTTGTGAGTTGTGAGTGCACCACACTAGTTGTGAGTTGTGAGTGCACCACACTAGTTGTGAGTTGTGAGTGCACCACACTAGTTGTGAGTTGTGAGTGCACCACACTAGTTGTGAGTTGTGAGTGCACCGCACTAGTTGTGAGTTGTGAGTGCACCACACTAGTTGTGAGTTGTGAGTGCACCGCACTAGTTGTGAGTTGTGAGTGCACCACACTAGTTGTGAGTTGTGAGTGCACCACACTAGTTGTGAGTTGTGAGTGTACCGCACTAGTTGTGAGTTGTGAGTGCACCGCACTAGTTGTGAGTTGTGAGTGCACCGCACTAGTTGTGAGTTGTGAGTGCAGCGCACTAGTTGTGAGTTGTGAGTGCACCGCACTAGTTGTGAGTTGTGAGTGCACCGCACTAGTTGTGAGTTGTGAGTGCACCGCACTAGTTGTGAGTTGTGAGTGTACCACACTAGTTGTGAGTTGTGAGTGCACCACACTAGTGGGTGAGTTGTGAGTGCACCGCACTAGTTGTGAGTTGTGAGTGCACCGCACTAGTTGTGAGTTGTGAGTGCACCACACTAGTTGTGAGTTGTGAGTGCAGCGCACTAGTTGTGAGTTGTGAGTGTACCACACTAGTGGATGAGTTGTGAGTGCACCACACTAGTTGTGAATTGTGAGTGTACCGCACTAGTTGTGAGTTGTGAGTGCACCACACTAGTTGTGAATTGTGAGTGTACCGCACTAGTTGTGAATTGTGAGTGTACCGCACTAGTTGTGAGTTGTGAGTGTACCGCACTAGTTGTGAGTTGTGAGTGCACCACACTAGTGGGTGAGTTGTGAGTGCACTGCACTAGTTGTGAGTTGTGAGTGCACCGCACTAGCTGTGAGTTGTGAGTGCACCGCACTAGGAGGGGTCACCTGGTCGTGGGTCAGCACCATGGACAGCACAGGCTCCTGCTGCCCCAGCGCCTGCAGCTCCTCCACCAGGTGAGGATCTCCGCGCGACTCCGGCAGCACGGCGCGGTGCAGCGCGCCCGCGTCTGGGGGGGCGGCCGAGACGCGGCACAGACACACGCGTCCATTCAGGGGCCGGGGCCCAACACTGGGAATTCAGGGATGTGTTGGGGGTCTCCGTGTGTTGGGGGTCTCCGTGTGTTGGGGGTCTCCGTGTGTTGGGGGTCTCTGTGTGTTGGGGGTCTCCGTGTGTTGGGGGTCTCCGTGTGTTTGGGGTCTCTGTGTGTTGGGGGTCTCTGTGTGTTGGGGGTCTGCGTGTGTTGGGGGTCTCTGTGTGTTGGGGGTCTCTGTGTGTTGGGGGTCTGCGTGTGTTGGGGGTCTCTGTGTGTTGGGGGTCTGCGTGTGTTGGGGTTCTCTGTGTGTTGGGGATCTCTGTGCGTTGAGGGTCTCCGTGTATTGGGGGTCTCTGAGTGTTGGGGGTCTCTGTGTGTTGGGGGTCTCTGTGTGTTGGGGGTCTCTGTGTGTTGGGGGTTTCTGTGTGTTGGGGGTCTCTGGGTGTTGGGGGTCTCTGTGTGTTGGGGGTCTCTGTGTGTTGGGGGTCTCCGTGTGTTGGGGGTCTCCGTGTGTTGGGGGTCTCTGTGTGTTGGGGTCTCTGTGTGTTGGGGGTCTCCGTGTGTTGGGGGTCTCCGTGTGTTGGGGGTCTCTGTGTGTTGGGGTCTGCGTGTGTTGGGGGTCTCTGTGTGTTGAGGGTCTGCGTGTGTTGGGGTTCTCTGTGTGTTGGGGATCTCTGTGCGTTGAGGGTCTCCGTGTATTGGGGGTATCTGAGTGTTGGGGGTCTCTGTGTGTTGGGGGTCTCTGTGTGTTGGGGGTCTCTGTGTGTTAGGGGTTTCTGTGTGTTGGGGGTCTCTGTGTGTTGGGGGTCTGCGTGTGTTGGGGTTCTCTGTGTGTTGGGGATCTCTGTGCGTTGAGGGTCTCCGTGTATTGGGGGTCTCCGTGTATTGGGGGTCTCTGTGTGTTGGGGGTCTCCGTGTGTTGGGGGTCTCCGTGTGTTGGGGGTCTCTGTGTGTTGGGGGTCTGCGTGTTGGGGGTCTCTGTGTGTTGGGGGTCTGCGTGTATTGGGGTTCTCTGTGTGTTGGGGATCTCTGTGCGTTGAGGGTCTCCGTGTATTGGGGGTCTCTGAGTGTTGGGGGTCTCTGTGTGTTGGGGGTCTCCGTGTGTTGGGGGTCTCCGTGTGTTGGGGGTCTCTGTGTGTTGGGGGTCTGCGTGTGTTGGGGGTCTCTGTGTGTTGGGGGTCTGCGTGTGTTGGGGTTCTCTGTGTGTTGGGGATCTCTGTGCGTTGAGGGTCTCCGTGTATTGGGGGTCTCTGAGTGTTGGGGGTCTCTGTGTGTTGGGGGTTTCTGTGTGTTGGGGGTCTCTGTGTGTTGGGGGTCTCTGTGTGTTGGGGGTCTCCGTGTGTTGGGGGTCTCTGTGTGTTGGGGGTCTCTGTGTGTTGGGGTCTCTGTGTGTTGGGGGTCTCCGTGTGTTGGGGGTCTCTGTGTGTTGGGGGTCTCTGTGTGTTGGGGGTCTCCGTGTGTTGGGGTCTGCGTGTGTTGGGGTCTCCGTGTGTGGGGGTCTCCGTGTGTTGGGGGTCTCTGTGTGTTGGGGTCTGCGTGTGTTGGGGGTCTCTGTGTGTTGAGGGTCTGCGTGTGTTGGGGGTCTCTGTGTGTTGGGGCTCTCTGTGCGTTGAGGGTCTCCGTGTATTGGGGGTATCTGAGTGTTGGGGGTCTCTGTGTGTTGGGGGTCTCTGTGTGTTGGGGGTCTCTGTGTGTTAGGGGTTTCTGTGTGTTGGGGGTCTCTGTGTGTTGGGGGTCTGCGTGTGTTGGGGTTCTCTGTGTGTTGGGGATCTCTGTGCGTTGAGGGTCTCCGTGTATTGGGGGTCTCCGTGTATTGGGGGTCTCTGTGTGTTGGGGGTCTCCGTGTGTTGGGGGTCTCCGTGTGTTGGGGGTCTCTGTGTGTTGGGGGTCTGCGTGTTGGGGGTCTCAGTGTGTTGGGGGTCTGCGTGTGTTGGGGTTCTCTGTGTGTTGGGGATCTCTGTGCGTTGAGGGTCTCCGTGTATTGGGGGTCTCTGAGTGTTGGGGGTCTCTGTGTGTTGGGGGTCTCCGTGTGTTGGGGGTCTCTGTGTGTTGGGGGTCTGCGTGTGTTGGGGGTCTCTGTGTGTTGGGGGTCTGCGTGTGTTGGGGTTCTCTGTGTGTTGGGGATCTCTGTGCGTTGAGGGTCTCCGTGTATTGGGGGTCTCTGAGTGTTGGGGGTCTCTGTGTGTTCGGGGTTTCTGTGTGTTAGGGGTTTCTGTGTGTTGGGGGTCTCTGTGTGTTGGGGGTCTGCGTGTGTTGGGGTTCTCTGTGTGTTGGGGATCTCTGTGCGTTGAGGGTCTCCGTGTATTGGGGGTCTCCGTGTATTGGGGGTCTCTGTGTGTTGGGGTCTCCGTGTGTTGGGGGTCTCCGTGTGTTGGGGGTCTCTGTGTGTTGGGGGTCTGCGTGTTGGGGGTCTCTGTGTGTTGGGGGTCTGCGTGTGTTGGGGTTATCTGTGTGTTGGGGATCTCTGTGCGTTGAGGGTCTCCGTGTATTGGGGGTCTCTGAGTGTTGGGGGTCTCTGTGTGTTGGGGGTCTCCGTGTGTTGGGGGTCTCCGTGTGTTGGGGGTCTCTGTGTGTTGGGGGTCTGCGTGTGTTGGGGGTCTCTGTGTGTTGGGGGTCTGCGTGTGTTGGGGTTCTCTGTGTGTTGGGGATCTCTGTGCGTTGAGGGTCTCCGTGTATTGGGGGTCTCTGAGTGTTGGGGGTCTCTGTGTGTTGGGGGTTTCTGTGTGTTGGGGGTCTCTGTGTGTTGGGGGTCTCTGTGTGTTGGGGGTCTCCGTGTATTGGGGGTCTCCGTGTGTTGGGGGTCTCTGTGTGTTGGGGTCTCTGTGTGTTGGGGGTCTCCGTGTGTTGGGGGTCTCCCTGTGTTGGGGGTCTCTGTGTGTTGGGGGTCTCTGTGTGTTGGGGGTCTCCGTGTGTTGGGGTCTGCGTGTGTTGGGGTCTCCGTGTGTGGGGGTCTCCGTGTGTTGGGGGTCTCTGTGTGTTGGGGTCTGCGTGTGTTGGGGGTCTCTGTGTGTTGAGGGTCTGCGTGTGTTGGGGTTCTCTGTGTGTTGGGGATCTCTGTGCGTTGAGGGTCTCCGTGTATTGGGGGTATCTGAGTGTTGGGGGTCTCTGTGTGTTGGGGGTCTCTGTGTGTTGGGGGTCTCTGTGTGTTAGGGGTTTCTGTGTGTTGGGGGTCTCTGTGTGTTGGGGGTCTGCGTGTGTTGGGGTTCTCTGTGTGTTGGGGATCTCTGTGCGTTGAGGGTCTCCGTGTATTGGGGGTCTCCGTGTATTGGGGGTCTCTGTGTGTTGGGGGTCTCCGTGTGTTGGGGGTCTCCGTGTGTTGGGGGTCTCTGTGTGTTGGGGGTCTGCGTGTTGGGGGTCTCTGTGTGTTGGGGGTCTGCGTGTGTTGGTGTTCTCTGTGTGTTGGGGATCTCTGTGCGTTGAGGGTCTCCGTGTATTGGGGGTCTCTGAGTGTTGGGGGTCTCTGTGTGTTGGGGGTCTCCGTGTGTTGGGGGTCTCCGTGTGTTGGGGGTCTCTGTGTGTTGGGGGTCTGCGTGTTGGGGGTCTCTGTGTGTTGGGGGTCTGCGTGTGTTGGGGTTCTCTGTGTGTTGGGGATCTCTGTGCGTTGAGGGTCTCCGTGTATTGGGGGTCTCTGAGTGTTGGGGGTCTCTGTGTGTTGGGGGTCTCCGTGTGTTGGGGGTCTCCGTGTGTTGGGGGTCTCTGTGTGTTGGGGGTCTGCGTGTGTTGGGGGTCTCTGTGTGTTGGGGGTCTGCGTGTGTTGGGGTTCTCTGTGTGTTGGGGATCTCTGTGCGTTGAGGGTCTCCGTGTATTGGGGGTCTCTGAGTGTTGGGGGTCTCTGTGTGTTCGGGGTTTCTGTGTGTTGGGGGTCTCTGTGTGTTGGGGGTCTCTGTGTGTTGGGGGTCTCCGTGTATTGGGGGTCTCCGTGTGTTGGGGGTCTCTGTGTGTTGGGGTCTCTGTGTGTTGGGGGTCTCCGTGTGTTGGGGGTCTCCCTGTGTTGGGGGTCTCTGTGTGTTGGGGGTCTCTGTGTGTTGGGGGTCTCCGTGTGTTGGGGTCTGCGTGTGTTGGGGTCTCCGTGTGTGGCGGTCTCCGTGTGTGGGGGTCTCTGTGCATTGGGGGTCTCCGTGTGTTGGGGGTCTCCGTGTGTTGGGCCCCCCCCACCTGTGCCCAGCAGCAGCGTCCTCCAGCTCTTGCCGTCCAGCGCCGCGACGTCGACCACCAGCAGCCGGTTGTAGGCCACTCCCGGCACCAGCAGCCAGGGCCGGCCCCCCTCGGCCTTCACCGCCTCATCCATCAGGGGGTGGTCGGAGACGAAGTTGAGCGTCTCGGAGGGCAGCATCTGCGAGTCCCAGCCCAGGGGGCACTGCGAGGGGGGGGGGGGGGGGGAGCGGAGGGCCACGTGTCCTAGCCAGTACTGGAGTCCACACCGCGCGAACAGCGATCGCCGCGTGTACTGTGACGTGTACAGTCACGTGTTCCCTGACGTGTACTGTGACGTGTACCGTGACGTGTACAGTGACGTGTACAGTCACGTGTACCATGACGTGTACCGTCGCGTGTACTGTGACGTGTACCGTGACGTGTACAGTGACGTGTACAGCCACGTGTACCGTGACGTGTACCGTGACGTGTACAGTGACGTGTACAGTGACGTGTACCGTGGCGTGTACAGTGACGTGTACCATGGCGTGTACCGTGACGTGTACAGTGGTGTGTACCGTGACGTGTACAGTGACGTGTACAGTGACGTGTACAGTCACGTGTGCCGTGACGTGTGCCGTGGCGTGTACCGTGACGTGTACCGTGGCGTGTACCGTGGCGCGCACTGCCGGTACTCACGTATCCGGGCCGTTGTGCGGGCAGGGCCCCCGCGTAGGGGGCCCACCGCTGGTCGGCCCCTCCCTGGTGCTTGAAGCGTCCGGAGAAGACGCGCTGCACCTCGTCCATGCGGTACGAGCAGACGGCCGAGACGGCGCCGCTGCCCCTGCAAGGACGCCCACAGCGACCGCGCGTCAGATCCCACGGCAACCACGCGTCGGTAGCCACGGCAACCACGCGTCGGTACCCACAGCACACAAAGATAAAGATCCCCCTTATAACCTTCACAGACCGCGAGCGCCAATGAAAGTGTAGCGTCAGTGCGCCGACTGGCGGCTGTAAGGACTAATCGCGGGTGGCAAATGAACAGCACACGGCCTAAGTGTGCGTGAGTGACCACAAGCGGGAGAAGAACTGGGCCAAGGGTCAAAAAGGAGGTCTATCGGGAAGCTCCCAGAACCCGCGAGAGACTTTGCGGAGAGGGGCGTGGCCTGGGGCGGGGCATGGCGGGGAATTTGGGGTCCTCGTCGTCGTCATCTTCGTCATCGTCGTCGCTGCTGTCTCCTCGTCGGCGCTGTGTAGTTGCCTCAGTACAGTAAAACCTTGGATTGCGAGCATAATTCGTTCCGGAAACGTGTTTGTAATCCAAAGCGTACTCGTATATCAAAGCACTCTATATCAGTTGTGTGATCACGTGACGCTCAGCAGACAAAGCGTCTATACGTACACTACTCGTGTTGCAAGACCCTCGCTCGTTTATCAAATTAATATTTATTTTAAAATGTTGCTCGCCTTGCAAAACACTCGCAGGCCAAGTTACTCGCAATCCAAGGTTTTACTGTACTTAGTTAGCATCGTCATAATTCGCTATATAGTCTACCAGGTGTATAGTCTGTATGCCAACGAGAAATAGATTAAAAGCCCTCCTACAGTCAGTGTCTGAAGTCAGTTGAGTTCATTTCATTTCAGTTAATTTACTAGGTATAGCCCTGTGAGCCATGCTGCTCTTGAATCGGGTGCAACCACAACAAACAAAAACATGAACAAGAAAACATCTTAAAGTGACTACACGCAACAGAAAAATCCAGGAAAAAACAGCAAAGTCTTCCAGAAAAAGCACCGTACATCAACGCTGTGTGCAAAAATCTCAGTGGGATGCAAGTCAAACAGTCGATACGTTACACAAGTAAGCACGGCACGTGATGGGGTCGGTGGCCAGCACCACGCCCGGCCGCCTTTGTCCCCCGAATGCCGATGTTTAAACACACCGTACCAGGTACTCATTTGAGGCTGGTTCGACCTAGAGGAGACCCAGGACCGGTCCAGATATTCGTCACTGATGTTGCCCATGAGCCGGAATCCTACCTGGGTCGCGGATTTGCAAATATGTGCGTGGCGATCCTACACGGGTCGGGGGGGGGGGGGCGGGGGGGGCAGGTGATGATTTACATATGAGTTATCGCATGTTGCGAGCGTGTGGGCGGCCGGGCGGGCGGTCGGACAGACGGACAGACGGACAAGGCAACCGACGAAAGGACGGCGCCAACGCGTCGTCGCTTTCAACCGTGGCGCGTCGTACGCGGCAGTGGAGGTGAAGGCGGCGTAGAATGTGACGTTACGCCAGCCCTCCTTCGGCCGCAGCACGAACGCGTCGCGAACCGACGGGAAGAAGAGGTTCTCCCCGGGCACCGAGCACGGGAGAAGCGCCTTCACGAATGACGTCCACTTCCTCTGCAGGAAGCTCTGCCCGCCGCGGTCTCCCTGTGGCGCAGCGGGGAGGGGCGGCCGTGCAGGTCAAAGGGCACCGTCGCGGACGGAGAGACACGCCGGGGCAACCGAAACGGGCCACTCGGAGCACTTTAAAGGCATGCGCCTGACTGCCGTGTGTCCACGTGTCCCCCCGGCTCCCTGGGTTTCTCATATGCCCGCATCCCGCCGCGTCTCCCCGTTTCCCCCTGGCCCAGTCTTCACGTATCACTGTGCACCCCATTGCTGCACGTTGCTGCGCGTGTATGTATGGTGAACTTCGATCGCACCGTACGTAGCCAACCGTGCCAGTCGGAGGTGCGGAGGAAGGACAACAAACTAAACACAAAAAGCAGTTTCTAAAGAAATTAGTTTGTCAGTTTAGATGATGATGATTTAAAAGGTGCGTAGCTCACAGCGGCTTCCTAATTTCGGCAAAGGAAGCGCATTTTAGACAGCCGCAAAAGCACATCTGAAGGCGTGCCAAGCGGTGACCATCCTTGTTCGATGGCTTGTCAAAAGCCCCCCTCTGCACATTCGCAGCATCACTTCAATCGCCTCCTTCAAAAGACACTTAAAAACTCACCTCTATAACCACGCTTTCGAGCGACTCCGAGCTTGGCTCCGCGCCTCCGAGTTGCGGCCGTTACGTCCGCAAATTTGCGCGCGTTCTAAATTGCATTATTATTATTATCACTGCGTGTATGACCGGAGTTCCTCGTATTCCCTTGCACCTGTGTCCGCTGTCCGCCCGTGTGTCAACCCCCCCCCCACTCCGCCCACCGTGTCCGCACCGTGCATACTCGCGCCACCCTGGGCACCGCCACTTTGCTGGAGTAGAAGTCGAACTCCTGCGCCGCCTCCGTGAAGAAGAGGTAAACCTTGTCGTCCTCGTCTCCGCCCTCCTCGCTCTCCGCCACATGCTCCGCCGCCGCAAACTCGGGCTCTGTGGGGGGGGGGGTGGGGTGGGGGGGAGGAGCAGTAGGTTGGAGAGCGAGGGGGGAGGGGCAGATGGGCCCGGGGAGGAGCAGGGGGAGGGTGAGCGGGAGCAGGAGTTGAGTGCTCTCCATACGGTGTCACTGCCGCATTGGACCCGTGCTGTTGTTTGTTGTTGTTGCTGTTGTCAGCCGGTCACTTACCAATGCTGGGCAAAATCCTCCTACCACCGCCCCCCCCCCCTCCCATTTTTTCCATTCCATTCCTTCATTTGCTGCTGCTGCTGCCCAGTAGTGGCCTTCGAACTCTTTGATTTCAGGCGAGACGGATCCCAGAACCTAACGCTCTCGGGTCAAGCGAGGTGACGAGAGGGAGGAGGGCCAGCGCCTGTTGCACCCTGCTGGTTCCCCATCGGTCTCCACCGGTCCTGGCTTTCCCCTGCTCCAGACGCTCTCTGCTTCTCCGCTCTCAGCTTCTCCCACTGCTCCCCGGCCGCCGGTGCTCCGCGGGGACTTACCGGAGAGCCAGGAGGACTTGTAGAGGGAGCGCAGGGGGTCGTCGGGGCCCATGTTGCGCATGACGACGGGCTCCGTGCCCAGGAAGTTGTAAAACGTGCCGGAGTAGAGCTTCCCACCTGCAGCGCGCGCACAAGCGCCGTGACAGAGAGGGCGGTGGTGGTGGAGCCGTCACGGTAGCAGGACCGGGGGGGGGGGGGCCCGGAGAAGCCTGGTGGTATCGTGCCACGCTCGATGGTGCAAACCCTCCGGAAGGAACTGGCGGAACGAAGGCCCCCATCGCAGGAGAGGGTGGCGTGGCCGGCAGGGGGCCTGAGCGTGGTTGCAAGAAATTAAATGCATGCTTCCTGTCGTTCACTTAGAGCGTGTCTCTAGATTGGAGGGAGGGGTGAGTGGCGGGAGGGGTGAATGAGGGGTGAGCCGGCGGGTGAGGGGTGAGTGGCGGGTGAAGGGTGGATGCGCTCACCGGCCATGGTGGAGGCGTAGCGCTGCGAGGGTGAGTAGGGGCACTGACCCTTCCCATCCACCAGCTGAGGGCCCCCTCCCACGGAGCTGGCGACCAGGGAGAAGGAGTTCAGATCCTGGTGGGTGGGGGGGGGGGCATGAGGGGGGAGGAGAGGGGCGCCGCGGGGAGAGAGGGAGGTGACCGACACGGCGTGGCATGGCAAGGCCTTCGTCCAGCAGTGGATAAATGTGAAGTGAACCGTGACCGATGCACGAGGCAGGTCGGGTGGCCGGGGCAACCGTGGAGGGGGGTGGGGGGGGGGCCTCTCTCCACTCCTTTCCAAAACATCCCCAGTGCTGAAAAATTACCTTGCAGGTTCCCCAATTGGGATCGCAGGCAGAGGAGGAGGAGCAGCAGCAGCCTCATCATTTATTTTGTTTAACCAAGTCGACACATGTTCGTCGAAAACACTGTGTGGCCTTCAAAGGGAAACGTATACAAGAGGCGATTGTTGTGGGTAGGCGGAGTGGGCGGGCGGGCGGGCGGGCACATACCACGTAGGCGCACATGGGCCGGAAGGCGTAGGTGCCACACACGTACAGGTGCGTGTCGTTGAGCAGGTGCAGGGTGCGCACCACGTTGTAGCAGTTGACGGCCTGCGCGCGCAGCGGAGGAACAAAAAGCCGATGGGGCAGCATGGTCACCGGCGGCCGGTGGCTTCCACGCGGCGGCCCCGGTGGCGGAGGAGCGCCGATTGGCGCACCGGTTGCCGACGGTGCAATCGGGGACGACATCGACCGAGCCGGCCGAGCCCTGCAAAGTTCTTGCTCGGCGCCATTGCTGGCAGTGAGGGGCCTCGCCCGCTGGAGGCCTTTGACGGCATGCTCGTCCACGGGAGAGGCGTCGGGAGAGACGTGGCAGGCACCCGCGCTTTACCCCACCACCACTCGTGACGGCCCGGGCAGAGGCGGTGGGGGGAGGAATTAAGAAACTTGCCCTCCCCCCCCACCCCCAATATTGTTTCAAATTCCACGCCATGAGAGATGAAATCGAACCGGCGACCTCTGGATCGCAGCGCGCTGCTGACCATTTGTGCTGCCGTGGCAGTGTCCGCGTCCGTGGCAGCCAAATGCAGTCGGTTAACGGTGACGTCGGTTAACGTTTCACCTCCCCATCGGAGACCCACGGCTTCAACCAACGTAAAATGTTGACGAGCGGGCAACGTTTAACGTTATGCACGCGGGTGCCGATTTTGGCCAATCCGAGTGCTCGTAAGTGGGGCCGAGCCATGCCCTCAGCCCATTTATGAGCGTTTAGACCTCGACTGGATTTGTTAAGATTGCTGATGTTGCGTTTTCTGTTTTGGCAGTGGAAACAGCCTCTCTTACAGACTCATGTAATGCCTGTGTTCGATTAACAGTTATTTCCCGTTCACGGTAGTTTTTTGTGGAACGGATTAAAAACGTTAACCGAGGGAACTACTCAAATTATATTTTTACTCGGTGGAACAGAACCCCCTTGTTGGTGGCGTTTATTATCACAGGAAATGAAATTGCTTCATGTGGTTTTACGATCTGTGGGCAATGTTAGTCTATGGGCAATGTTAGTCTATGGGTAATATGAGTCTATGGGCAATGTTAGTCTGTGGGCAATGTTAGTCTGTGGGCAAGGTTAGTTTCTGGTCAAGGTTAGTTTTTGGGCAAGGTTAGTCTGCGGACAATGTTAGTCTGTGGGCAATGTTAGTCTAGCTCTATGTGAGGCAGGTCCTTTCTTAAAGATGTCAGCGACCATGGCCTCCCTTCCATTGAGCTCTGTCCACGACATTTACTCAAGAACTCCGCATTGGATTCCCCTCTCGGTTGCACCCAAATCTTAAAATTGTTCAAGAAACTCAATCCGCTCTCTTCCCCGGCCTCCTTGCGGCACCTAAGATGTGCTCAGTCAAATGAATGTATGACTCGGGACTAAAAACCACCGTATCTGCAGCTTTGCCCAGTGCCCCAGCGAGCCGGAGTCTCCCCCCCTCACCCACCCTCCTCGACTGTGCCCGGCTTTGCCGGATCGGTACAACGCTACTGCCGGGTCGCGCGGCGCGAAGACTCACGGCGGCGGGGGAGACCTTGGCCCTGCAGTCATCCTGCGTCTGCTCGTCGGCCTTCCATGTGATCTGTGGGGTGAGAGGACCCACAGGACCAAGCCTTGAAAAGCGAACGTGACATTGGCCCAACGTTCCATGTTTGTTGGGGGTCCATGGCTAGAATGGTGTCCCCTGTCCCCCTCAATCCCCAAATCCCTGGGTCCCCCCCGACCATCTCTCTTGGTCTCCATCCCCCCGTGCCCCGGGTCCCCTGGCTAGGGGGTCTCCCTGGCTAGTGGGGTCCCCTGTCCCCCTCGATTCCTATCCCCATGGGTCACCCCATCCCCCCGGGCCTCCCTTGGTCCCCGTCTCCCGGGTGCCCCCGTGCCCCGGATCCCCTGGCTAGGGGGTCCCCCGGCTACGGTGGGGGGGGGGGGGGGGGGGGGGGGATCCCCCTCCCTCACGGCGGGGTGGAGCTCGCGGGAGACGTTGCGGGCGTCCAGGGCGAGGATGGCGTCGCGCGCGCCCACGTAGAGCGCCGAGCGCTGCGGCACCAGCAGCAGCGCCGACGCGTCGGGCACGGCGCGGAAACTCATCGCCTCCTCCTGCGCCAACTCTGAAGGGGTGGGGGGGGGGGCAACAGTTTAGTGGGGGGGGGGGGGGGCGGCGGGGTGGGGTGGGGGGTGAATGAGGCCCTTGCAGTGACAGAAGTAACTGACGGCGCTAGAAATAGAGACGCAGCACCGCAGCCGCACCGGATTCTCTCATCGCCTGCGTAGCAGGAGACGAGGGGGAAGGCGGCGGCGGCGGCGGCGGCCTCGCAGTGCGCGGCCGGCGTTGCTGGCATTTGCCCGAGCTCTGCGGTCCTCTCTGCACGCGAAGGCGTCGTCGGGCCAATTCGTGACAGCCAGAGCGCCCGGGAGAAAACTCATTGCATTCGACGGGGGCGGCACGCTCCTGTACGGATGCAAGCAGTGAAGCACACATTCGCTGCGTTCTCGCGGCGAGCATGGGCCGTAGCACCTCCGTGCCCACGGGTAGGAAGGAAGGGAGTGTTTTAACATCTCCGTGCGAGCTACCAAAAACCCTCGCCGCTGCCTCCGCAGAGCCGGACTGCAAGGCCGTGGACAATGTCCCCCTCTAGAGATAGGCGGTACCCACGCTTCACCCGACCGCACGCAACCTGCCTCTGAGTGACCCTGTGCACTAATTTCACTATGAATAAATAACTGCTGGGTCGTTGCCCTGGCGGCGCGGGGGTAGGGGCGGCGTTTTTTGAGATTTGTCGCGTTTGCACACCCTGTCGCTTGTGTGTGTTGTGTGTGCGTTTGTGTGTGTCTTTGTGTGTGTATTTGTGTGTGTTTATGCGTGTATGTGTGTGTTTGTGTGTTTGTTTGGGTGTCCGTTTGTGTGTCTGTGTGTATGTGTGTGTGGTGGGGAGCGGTAGTGCAGCGGTTAGCTGCAACGCTGTGGTGGGCAGTGCCGTGGGCGGAGGGCCAATTTGTTGGCGTTTGTAACCGCCACAGCGGCCAGATGGGGGCTCTGGACGGGTGCGAGGGGCTGGTGACCCCTCCACCTTCAATTGACTATCGCTGAACTACGATTTTAAAATGTATTCAGCTTTTGCCAGAGGCCCTGGGGGGACTGGCGTCTATGACGTCTCCTGGCCAAGCTCCATTTGGCGGAGCCAGGAGGCTGAATTATTACCCTCGGGGCTCCTCCAGACATAACAAAAAGCCACAACGGATGGCCACGTGGAATGTTCGAACACTCACTGCGGAGGAGAGGCTGTCGGGAGCTGGACCGGTACCTGGACCGGTACCGCCTGGATCTCTGTGGTTATTCAGGAGGTCCGGTGGACCGGCTCTGGCTCCTGCCACCATGAGGGGTGGACAGTCCTCTACTCCGGGCAGGAGACTGCCAAACAACAGGAGGTGGCTCTTAAACAAAAGAATGCAGGGGGCGTGGGAGCGGGGTGGTGAGGTGTGGGAAGCTGTACGCCCCAGGCTACTTTGGGCGCGCCTTCCCATCAACCAGAGGCGGGGGGAGTGGTGGTCGTGGTTACTTACTTCAATGCCCGAGATGGTCATGATGCTAGCACCTGGTCTGGAGTGATTGGAAGACATGGGCCAGATCAGCTCAATAATAACGATAGGAGGCTGCTAGATTTTTGTGCAGCCCATGGGCTTGTAATTACCAACACGCTGTTCCAGCATCGGTGCATCCACACAACATCATGGGTGCATGCCGGGTCCAAGCAAGAATATCTGCTGGACTACATAGTGACGGAACAGCGGATGTGGGCCCATGTCCTTGGCACCAGGACCTACCGTGGAGCTGATCTGCCCACTGACCATCGACTTGTGATCTGTATGATGCGGCTGCCATTATATCACTCCGGTAGTGGATGTACACCCAGGACCCCATTCAAACCCATAGTGGCATGGTCTCAGCTGGCTGATGAAAGTTGTAAGCGAGAATTTCATCATCGCTTGCGGTTGGGGTTGGCATCGTCCCCCACTCCTCAAGATGTCGAGGGGAAATGGGCAAGGATTAGGACTGTGGCTCATGCAGCTGTAATGGCTGCTTTGGGTACACGTGTAGTGAGTCCAACTGAGTCGCAGACGTTGTTCTTTAAAGGCAACACATTTATTTGTAACATCAACACGTAACACAAAAGAGTAACTTCCCCTTCACCAGATACAGCCTAGGGTGGTGGCCACCCAGCTAACTACCCTATACGGAGGGTCTGACCCGCACTCAGATCCCGGCCACGTGTTGATGCCTGTAGAGCTTCCAGCTTGTAGGACGTAGAGCTTCAGGACATAGAGCTTCAGCTTGTAGAATGCAGTGACCCCGGTGCCTCTCAGGGACCCACCTTATATTCCCCCATGGGTTGGGGCTGCTCCGCCCTCAGCCCCGCCCGCCTTCTCGAGCGTTCGAGCTCTCTCCCGATCCCCCTCGAGAGCTCCCCCCAGACACGTGATCACCCCCTAGCCCCCCCACCTGGGGGCCTCTCTGTGGACACTCCAGAACACGTGTCTACGGGGTCAACCAGAGTGCCATGGCCCGGGGCAACCCTGTCCCTGGGCTAACACTCTCCCACTCCCCCTTGTGGGAGCCCGCACCGCGCGCTGTGCGTGGTGCCCGCGCTATTCCAGCGCACACCGAGCCCCGCTAGGGCTGGTACTACACCCGCCTACGGGGTGTACGCGATGACAGTGCCGTGGCCCTCTCGGGCCGGCACCGTACAGTGACATCCCCGATGTCACTACACATGGTCCAGACCTGGCTGACAAAGGAGGTGTTCAGGCTAGCTGAGAAAAAGCAACAGGCCCACTCTCATCCGCTACAGCATCCCATGTTGGAAAATGAGGAGGCTTACCGCAGCCTTCGCTCGGAGGTTCGGAGAGCCGTGAGGCGCTGCAAGGATGGTTGGTGGTCGCGGGTTGCTGAGGAGATGGAGTCTGCCTCAATGGCCCGCGATCACAAATTGCTATTTAATTCCATCAAAAAAATAACCTGCAGCGCCACACCTATTACCATCATTAGGGGAAAGAATGGTGATCCAATCTCCAACTCCCAGGAACAGATTTGCAGATTTGCTGAGCATTTCCATGAGGTCCTGGGGGAGGGGACATCCCTCATCCTGGAAATATCTTGCTGAGGCTGCGGTGCCTCAAATATTGGAAGAAGAAGTCACCCCCTGTGAGTGAGTGGCTGGCTGAGGTGCCATCTGTTGAGGAAGTACTGAAGGCGATCCAGAGTCTGATACCAGGAAAGGCACCGGGCAGAGATGATCTCCCAAGCGAAATGCTGTGAGTGGGTGGCATTTGTGCACAGACTGCCCTACATGACAACAGTCTGGATCACTGGACAGGTTTCGCAGGATTGGAAGGATGCCCTGGTGGTCCCCCTCTTTAAGAAAGGGGACCGCACAGACTGTAACAATTACAGGGGCATCTCACTCCTCAGTGTGCCGGGAAAGGTCCTGGCAAGGATTATTCAACATCGCCTTGCCAGGCACGCTGAGGAGAGGCTTGCGGGGCCCCAATGTGATTTCAGGGAAGGGCGGTCCTGCACAGATGCCATATTTTCTGTCCGTCTGCTTCAGCAGAGGTGTAGGGAATTCCCACAAGACCTACATCTCTGCTTTATTAACCTGGTCAAGGTCTATGATACCATCAGTAGGCCTGGGCTCAGGGTTGTTCTTCGTGCTTTTGGAGTCCCTGACTCTCTGCTTACGATCATTAAGGACCTTCATGATGGTGACCGGGCCCGGGTAAAACTACGTGGCTGGGAGTCGGAGCCATTCCCTGTTCACTTTGGGGTGCGACAGGGATGTCCTCTGGCTCCCACATTATTTACCATCTATTTTGACCACGTAGTTCGTGAAGCCTTCAATAGCTGTACCGGAGGAATTTCCATCTGGTACAGATACAATGGGAGGCTGATCGATGCCCGGGTGCGGTCAAGGGATGGCTCCCTATTGCTCAACCACGTTATGTATGCCGACGACCTGGTAATTGCTACTCACTCAGAGAGTTGGAGGCGCTGCTGCTGAACCTGGAGCTTGCCACTAAGAGGTGGGGACTTACCATCAGCCCCACCAAAACTAAGCACCTGCCTGGGTATTTTGTACCATCGGACACTCCACCCCCACATCACCCTTGGTGATGGGGCAGTTGTGGAGAGAGTGGAGAGTTTCCCATACCTGGGTAGGGGTCATGACCGGCTCCGGTTTAACAGCAGAGGTCTCACTCCGAATCAGTCGAGCGGCAATATCTTTTCATTGGTTGCGTAACGCTGTGTGGAAACTACCTGGTCTGTCGCTCCACACGAAGCTTCAGTTCTTCTCGGCCACGGTCATTCCCTCCCCTCTCTACGCTTGCGAAACGTGGACCCCCTAATGGAACATCTTCGCCGGTTAGAAACGTTTAGGCTAGCCTGCCTACGATCCATCCTGGGTTTAACCAGGCTGGATTGTGTGAGGAGCTCACAAATCCTTGAAAGATCTGGGCAAGGTCCCATCGGTGAGCTCCTCCGCAGGCAAGGCTGCATTGCCTGAGTCATGTAGCCCGCATGCCCAGCCACCGCATGCCGAAACAGCTTTTGTTCGGCCGGATTGAGGGGGCTAAACGGGCGCAGCACGGGCTAGAGAAGAGATGGCGTGATGCGGTACAGGAGGATGTGGAGCTGAGTGGACTTGCCGATGACTGGTACCAGTGGTGTCAAGATCGGCCTCTGTGGAGGAAGCTCGTGAAGGACGCTACCAAGCAGTTGGAGGCAGTCGCCCTCCAACAACAACGGAGGGCGGAGGAGCGACGCTCACAACAATGAGCAGAGTGCTGGGAGGCTAAAGCACAGAAAGTTGGCGCAGTAGGGGGCACAGGTGGTCAGCTAGTCATCTCAGTCAGTCGACCCGTGGCACCTGGGTCTGCCCCATGACCTCCTGCCAGCGGGCGTTCGACACTTCACGTGGCCTCAATGTGCACATAGCCTGGCACAGGCGTCGTGGTGACGTCACTGCCACTTAGTGGCAAATGGCGGTTATTGTTGTTGGTGGGGAGCGGTAGTGCAGTGGTTAGTGCACTCCGCTACGAACCTGGTGACCCAGGTTCGATTCCCGCGCATGGCCAACACCAGTGATAGCGATTATCTGAACCAGTCCTGGACCTCCCCTAGGTCGACACAGCCTCAAATGAGTACCTGGTGCAGTGCGTAAACATCGCCACTGGGGAGACAAAGGCGGCCGGGCGTGGTGTTGGCCCCCCACCCCCTCGTGTGCCGTGTCGGCCTTTATAGGTGCTGCTCGCTAACACCACTTGCCCCTACAGTCTGTGCAGGCTATACGGGGGATCTTTGTCTTTTTATTTTTGTTTGTGTGTGTTTGTTGTAACTTCCCTGACCCGCCCCGAACTGGACATCTGTGAAAAAAGATCCTCCCAGCTCATCGGGTTTTTCCTCTATCAACAAAGATTCTGTTTGTGACAAACAAACTTGCATCATTGTTACAATCTGCCGGGCCGGGAGATAATACTTGGAATGCAAAACAAACCCGCCCCGATATTAACCAAAATAAAGACCACGTGGTGGTGCGTGCGTGGGGGAGACGTGGGGACACGTGCAAGACACGGGGGGTGGGGTGCGTGGGGACACGTGCAAGACACGGGGGTGGGGTGGGGGACACGTGCAAGTGGGGAGTGCGTGGGGACACGTGCAAGTGGGGAGTGCGTGGGGACACGTGCAAGACACGGGGGGGGGGGGGGGTGCGTGGGGACACGTGGACGCCCTGGGCACACGGGAGGACTGGGCCGTATCCTCACCATCGTAGGATATCTTCACTCTCGGCACGGCGAGAAATTCCTGAGCCTCTGACCCCAACAGCGGCGGCAGCATCACCGTGAGGGCGAGGAGCAGAACGGGGAGGTGGTGCTTGGTCATGGCGGAGCGAGGAGGAGGTTGGTGGTCGCCTCTGGCTGCAGGTCCCGGGGTCGCAGTGCCCTCGTCCAACACATCCCCTACCCCCTCGGGAGGTGGTGGGGGTCAGGGCCCAGGGACCGAGGGGACCCGGCTGGAGCCCCGTGCCTGCGAGCGGATGGGGGGGAGGGCGTCGCGGAGTCACCCACGTGGAAAAGAGACGCAGCTTCTGCCGGCGGCGTGACTCATCTACAAGCCACGTGAGCGAATTAAAATTTAATGTAGATGTGGGGGGAGGTAGGAGGAGGATGGGGGGGGGGGAGAGGAAAAAGGAGGTGGGTGGGGGATGAGGAAAAAGGAGAGGATGGGGATGGCACGGGGGTGGCGAGGGGGGGAAGTGTCACCTGTACATTTGGCAGGCGCGACCAACACACCTGGGGACAGGCGTTTGGCTTCCGAATGGTCAAAATGCCGGGAACATCGCGAGCCGCCGCTATCGCGGATCACTGCCAACGTCTAGCATCGGGATCAGCTGAAGCCTCCCGTGAGTCACGTGACTTGCGTGTGGGTCCCCCCCCCTTTCTCCCCACCACTCTGGACCCACGTGACCGCCCACTGTGAAAACAAACCTCTTATCGAGGAATCGTGTCTGCATTAACCACAATACTTGTGGTCAGAGTGGCATTGTCTTTGTGCTGTGTACGCCTTTTGGGGTCCTCTGGTCTAACACCGTTTGAGACGAGGCTCAAAAGAAAGCTGTCTCTGGTGTGGACCAATCAGTTTCAAGGACAATACCACATAGATTATCAGTGTGTGTTTTTTGTTTGCATTCTGACCACAAGTATTGTGGTTAATGCAGACATGATTCCTTGTTAAAAGGTTTCAGTTTGGTGTTTTAACATCTTAATACAGCTGTTTTGCTGGCAGAATAAATTCCTTAAAAAAATTTAAACTACGGGTTTATTAACAACTTCGTTTAACTCACGGTCGAGAAGGACGTCAATGGATGGCACCTGAGACTCGCGGCGTCTGCTTTTTGTGCGAGCCGATTTCACAGTTTAGGGACCTACACGCAAATATATATGTAAATAATAAGGCGTCCATACAAAATGTAAATTAAGTTATAGATTGCTAATTTTTATGCTAATCCCTTTGTCAAGGCACCTTGTTTCCTCGCACACAGCTTAAAGGTCGCGGTCTGAGCGTGGCTGTGTTTCACTCCAGCGCTGTCCTCGAGACAGCCTGATCCCTTCACCTGATGAAGGCCGCTTGTGTTGTGGCCGAAACGTCGTGATTTTTGTTGTTTTATTTTTTACCTACGTGACTTTACCGAATAGAACCAGAGAGTATAAAAATGTAAATTGCTTTAAAGTAGCGAATTAATTGATTAATTGATGCCGATTTTGCTACAGGCACGCATTGTCACCGGATCTGAGTACGTTGTGCAAAATGTGGAATTGATTGGACAACGGGAAGTGGACGAAATTTTCATTACAAGATTTGACCCGCGACAAACGGAGAGGAATCAAGTTCAGTAAAACCGTTGAAACAGAAAAGGGGAAAAAACCTATGATCATATTTTGGTGCTGGCACCGGAGGGCCCATTATCAACATGTTTGTACGTACAGCAGCAATCCCTTGCCAAGCCGAGAATGTACCAACCACGATATTTGAGTATGCGTGGATCGACATCGATATACAGGGAAAAACCTTGGATTGCGAGCAACTTGGCCTGCGAGTGTCTTGCAAGACGAGCAAAACGTTTAAATAAATATTACTGGTAGGAACGAAGTTGTAAACTGAGTGTACCAGCCTGCAATAGATTAATGTGTCCGTCCGTCCGTCTCCTTTCAATACTTTAACGAAGTGAAATCTCGTGCTGTTGGGGTGTAAAAATAAAATTGCGCAAAATTCCAATGTTCCTACCAGCCCACCCTGCAGGGACCTGTTAATGTGACAAACGAGCGAGGGTCTTGCAACACGAGTAGTACGTGATCACACAACTGATATACGAGTGCTTTGATATACGAGTACGCTTTGGATTACAAACACGTTTCCGGAAGGAATTATGCTCGCAATCCGAAGTTTTACTGTGTACCTGAAACATCCGAAAAGGTGATTATCACTTTCTGGCAATAAACTGGTTAGTTGCTAAGATGTTAACGCGCCAAATAGATTCCATAACACAGCGTAAATATATGTGCCGTTAAACCCGCCACCACCCGACACAGCCAATTTAGTGCGAGCGAGCGAGTGTGGTAAAGGTCAGAGTGTCGAGAGCTGCGTCGTCTGTGGCCCGGGGAAAGAGATGGGGGGGGGGGGGGCAGGCTGGGCCGAGTGTCCCCCACCCCCATCATCTCATCGTCGTTAAATATTAAAGTAACGTAAAGTTAACGTTATGTTCATTTGCTTGCGTAATGTACTGTACACGGCGTTTCGTAGATAAGGGGCCGTCCATAAATGACGTCACGAAAAGTCAGACCCCCCCTCAAATATGACGTCACAAAGCTCTGCCCCCCCCAAAACCATATTTCCATTTTGAAAAGAAAACATTCTTCAAATCGCTTTAAACTATTGTCATTGTAGTGCGTATTTAATGTGGCGCTGCACTCTGATGTTGTAGGATAATTAATTACTCTTTGGTTCTATTCGGTAAAGTCACGTAGGTAAAAAACAAATTAATTAATTAAGTAGAACGTTTGGCGATATTTATTAAAAGTTGCGCATTTTGATGTGACGTCACATTTCTCAAACACCCCCCCCCTCGTCACACATCGTCACAAATGTCTGACCCCCCCACGCCCCCCCCCCCAGGTGCGTGACGTCATTTATGGACGGTCCCCTAAACGTGCAACTGAGTTCAGCTGCGACGAGTCTGACCCCTGACCCCCGATGATCCCCGTTGATCCGCCTGAACTCTTCCGACCGCGAGGGTGTTTCAGGAACCGAACCTTCGCGGCGGGGTTACACTGCTGAGTTGTTGAACTTCTTTAAAACCATGCTGGGGGGTGGTGGTGGGGGGGGGGGGGGTTGCGGAAACATCCATGATTATCTATATTCTTGGGGTAAAAGTCGCGTAGATAGGTTGAAAGAAAATAATAACAAACAAAAAAACCCTACACCGCTTCGATCGCAACGCAAGCGTTCGCCTTCTTCCTGATGACGGTCGCTTGCGCTGCGATCGAAACGTCTTGACCCAAGAATATGAATTCCCGCACTCACGAAAGCTTTAGGTCAAGGTTGTATCACTGATGCCGTCATCACCAACACCACGCGTGCCGTCTTGCCTGCTTGTTGTTCATACAAACTGCAGCGCGTGTGAAAGTGCGTCACCTTGGGGTACACGTGCGGTGCGAAAGAAGTTCGGCATACACGCACACTGTGCACAGCTCATGTATCCACTTCCAGCTGCTCTGGGTATGCACTAGATGCGCGCTTGTGTGCCGCTGAGACGATTTGACTGACTGGCCTTGCCAAGACAACCCGTGTGTAGCCTGTAACAGACTGTTGGGGCGAGTGCTGTTAGCGAGCACCTATGAAGGCCGGCACGGCACACACGAGCGGGTGGGTGGCCAGCGCCACGCCCGGCCGCCTTTGTCTCCACTGTGGCGATGTTTACACACCGCACCAGGTACTCATTTGAGGCTGAGTCGACCTAGGGGAGGCCCAGCACCGGTTCAAATAGTCGTCACCGGTGTTGGCCGTGAGCGGGAATCGAACTCGGGTCGCCGGGTTTATAGCGCAGCGTGCTAACCACTGCGCCACCGCTCCCCACGAACCACAACCATCACGTCCGCCTTCATCACCACCACCATCATCACAACCAGCATCACTGCGGCAAATGTCGTCTCCGCCTGAATCACCAGCATGAACACTGCCACCACCTTCACCATAACCACGACCATCGCAAGCACCACCATCAACCACCATCAACCACCATCAACCACCATCAACCACCATCAACCACCATCAATCACCATCAACCACCATCAATCACCATCAACCACCATCAACCACCATCAATCACCATCAACCACCATCAATCACCATCAATCACCATCAACCACCATCAATCACCATCAATCACCATCAACCACCATCAACCACCATCAATCACCATCAACCACCACCATCAATCACCATCAATCACCATCAACCACCATCAATCACCATCAACCACCATCAATCACCATCAACCACCATCAACCACCATCAACCACCATCAATCACCATCAACCACCATCAATCACCATCAACCACCATCAACCACCATCAATCACCATCAACCACCATCAACCACCATCAATCACCATCAACCACCATCAATCACCATCAACCACCATCAACCACCATCAATCACCATCAATCACCATCAACCACCATCAACCACCATCAATCACCATCAACCACCACCATCAATCACCATCAACCACCATCAATCACCATCAACCACCATCAACCACCATCAATCACCATCAACCACCATCAATCACCATCAATCACCATCAACCACCATCAATCACCATCAACCACCATCAACCACCATCAATCACCATCAACCACCATCAACCACCATCAATCACCATCAACCACCATCAATCACCATCAACCACCATCAACCAATATCAATCACCATCAACCACCATCAACCACCATCAACCACCATCAATCACCATCAACCACCATCAACCACCATCAATCACCATCAATCACCATCAACCACCATCAATCACCATCAACCACCATCAACCACCATCAATCACCATCAACCACCATCAACCACCATCAATCACCATCAACCACCATCAATCACCATCAATCACCATCAACCACCATCAATCACCATCAATCACCATCAACCACCATCAATCACCATCAACCACAATCAACCACCATCAACCACCATCAACCACCATCAACCCCCATCAACCACCATCAATCACCATCAACCACCATCAATCACCATCAACCACCATCAACCACCATCAACCACCATCAACCACCATCAATCACCATCAATCACCATCAACCACCATCAACCACCATCAACCACCATCAATCACCATCAACCACCATCAATCACCATCAACCACCATCAACCACCATCAATCACCATCAACCACCATCAATCACCATCAACCACCATCAACCACCATCAATCACCATCAACCCCCATCAACCACCATCAACCACCATCAA